GTTATTTTTAGGAAATATATGTTAAAAAAAAAAGTAATATATGAACTTGGTTTGCCCAAGGTTTGGTGACAGCAACTAACACTGGTGATTGTAAAAGAGATTCGAAAAATGTATTATTTGGAATGGTTAAATGATTTCTGTTCAGGTGGCAGTTAACCCAGAGAATAAAAACCAAACATCTGAAATATTTGTTTTATACATATTATATTCATGGTGTATAAATATAAGGCTTCTCATGTAGATGAATTGCATTTCTGAACGTGTTTCAAAACTAATTTCAGAGATTGTTTCCTACGTGGATAGCATAAGTTACCTTTGCATTTTGACCAGGTTTTGTTTATCTCAATGAATATTTCCCCACTTTTGATATAACTGAACTTGTGTGGACTAAATTGATGATAAAAGATACCTAATAACTTTTTACTATGCTGGAATGGATCACTGTTCTTGCTGCCATTGATAAACCAGTATACTTTGTCTTCTTTTTAAGTGCTGCTTAAGCAACTAAGAGGGTAATGGAAAATAAAGATGAAGCAAGAAAGCTAAATTGCAGAACAAAGGGAAATCAATCCAGAATTGTAATTACTATACTTACAATGCTTTCAAATGTCACTGAGATTTTGTTGTATATTTCTATTTTTTGAAACAAATATTTATAGAAGCATTTATTTAAATTGTTTTAAATAAAACTTCATTTTAATTTTAAATATATACTTACATAAGTATACCTCACAGTTACAGTATACAGAGACCTGTACAGTCTTTATCATTTTTTTCAGGATTAAGCTTTCTATAGTATCTACCTTTATTGATAGTGCTCTGCTGGGTAAAAGTTAAATATGGGAAATGAAGAAGATATTTTATGGAAAGCAAAAATTCTATACAGTAATTTCAAATCATTCATTGAAAATAAGATCTGGAAACACTATTATTGCTCACTAATCAGATATTCTATATGGCAGAGTTACTATTAACAATAGTTGATCTTATCCTTTATTTTTAACAGTAGCTAATTCAAAACTATGATAGATGAAGCCTTTTCTATTAAAGAGGAAGTGATAAGAAAAAATCCTTTTTAAAAATTCCTGCAGGAGATGCTGCCAAAATCACAGACACAGGATTATTTGACAAAGTTGACAACTTTAACTGTACAGTGTTTTTGGACACAGTAAAGTCATGGTGCCCCCCCCCCTTTTAACCTCATAAACTCTATTTATTCTGCTTTGAAATATTACCACAAAAAAGCCTTTTGTTTGGCTCCAATCTTTTCTGCAAAAGAGCTTCCCCTTAGTATTAATTAGATGGGTCAAAATACCTCAAATAATTAGGTGTTTTACTGGCAGAACATTCCCTATTGTTTTCCAGGTTATCTCAAAATACTTAAAAAAATAAATCTTGTAAAATACATCATTTCAGTTGCCAGTGGAAAGGAAGTATGACTCTTGCGTGTGTTTCAGAGGCTGCAAAGACTATTAGAAATGTGCTGCAGGTTCCCTCAGATGTGTCCGGAGAGGAAATCACTACATAAAGTGTTTCTTTCCGTGACGCATCTCTAACAGACTTACACCCCGCCCATACTGAAAAACAGCTTGTTAAATATCACCATGTTTAAATACAAAGCATGGCAATCAATGGTTGTAGGCAAATCTACACCAATACTGATGTCAGGAGAATGAAGGAGTAATGGAGATTATGAGATGACTTGCATACATAGGCTAAATTCACACGTAATGCTAAGCAAAAATTGTAACTAAGGATTGCTGAAAAAGCTAAGCCACAGTTCAGGGATGGACAACCACTCTGTGGCCAGGAGATACACATTTTAAAACACTTTTTCAGCTTCTAAGAGTAGTAGAGTGTGTGCTATTAACCTGAGGAAATCAGGAATTTCTTCCCCATATGCTGGAGGCCAACACAGCTCTTGTACTGCTTTTTTGGCTTCTTGTTATATGAAAAATGATGCTCCTACAATTGACAGATTGTTGGCAATTCAGCAATACAATGTTGGGGGATGTCGGATGCCACAAAAAATGGTCTACAGGTCACCTATGACTCACTGATGGCTCATTTCTGCAACAATTGATGGATTCGTGTAAAGCAAAAACAAACCACATTATAACTTAAGTGCAGTGTGTGAGAACCACTTCTGGTCTGATTGTACTGCATCTTCTAGTGGATTATCTGGACATCACGGGGAGATTAATTTTTTTCCCAAAGAGCATGTCCATTATTGCACTGGCTGAGTAAATAATCCAAATCATGCCATTTCACAGAAAGAGAAACACCTTGCTGCTCCAGCAACTGCAGAGAAACATTACTTGGGAAAGATCCCCAACCTCATTATTCCTATTGCCCATGCGGCAAAAGTTGGAACAGATGTCCACAACTTCTATGGGCAGAAGTTGCTACTCATTTAAAAAAAATCTCTGCTTCAAGATGTTACAGCAAGAAGCACTTTCTCCAGATCTTGACTGGCAACCAGACTCCAAATCACCTTTTATCACAGTACTAATTCATTTAGACCGACATATGTATAATCCTGCAAAAACTGTATCTTCAGCTTAAGTGAAATAGTGTGTCTGAATTCAAAGCACTAATTATTTAATCTTAGTAAGTCTGAGCTTCTAAACTTTTAGTATAAAAGAAAAAATGCAATAATTAGATGCTCTACTTTCAAAATAAAATGTTGGCATATGCTAAAGCTTTAGCATTTAGCTTTATTTCATACATAAAAGACAATGGAAAACTGATATTTGACCCCCTCATCTCATTTTAGTCATCTGCATTTTGAGTTAACTAGCATTTAGGATTAGCTAGATCATGCACATAACTTTTCCAGAAAAATTCATCAATGTTAAAGAGAGAGAGCTAGGTGGCCTTTGGGGGAGGCTATCTTACCTTGAAATAAAAGATGCTGAATGATTCCCTCTTTTTTTAACTAAAAAAAAAACAGCTTTGTTGCTACTTTAAGCAATATCTCAGCTGATAACCAAGCATCCTAACATCATTCCTGATATTGAGATATTTTCTCTTTTTCTGGTTTTTATGCACTCACTGCTTCCCCAATTTATTATTCTTACTGATGAAAGTAGCAGTAAATTTTGTTTTTTAAACAGAAAAGGAAAAAAAGAAGAAAACCACTGGCATCTTGCTCTTAATGGGTTTCTAGCAAAACATCCCATCTTAAATGTTCACATAACCTAACCCTCCTCCCTACATGCTCCCCCCCGAAAAAAATGCTGGGCTGAATATTTCGGTGAGTATCAGTGTATAGAAGTACTTTGGATGACTTGATAATCTCAAATACCTTTCCAACATATAAAAGACAAGGCTATTCTGCAACTGTGATAGCTATCCTGAATGCAAGGCTCAGCCCTAACTATTTAATTTGACATGTTGTTCTCATCCCCCTGAAAATTAAGATACTGCACTTCATCCTCCTCCCCGGGAAAGCCTTTCTAGTAAACATTCCCACCGATCAGGCAAAAACAAGAGCGAGTATGAATCTGTAGATGTTGGCTGCTTTCTGCTAAAACACTCCTTTGGTCTTTAACTCCTCTTTAGTACAGAACAGTTTTTGTTTATAAATACAAAAGAACTCTCCAGCAGCTTCGCATTTCTTCCTTACAAGGAATCCAAAACTTGCTTGGATGTATTTCCCAACTGCAATATTACTGTGGCAAGTCACTGGAACACATTAGGAAAGTAATTCTCCAGACAAACTGCAAGCTATTTTAAAAATGTTGAATTTTAATTTAGATTTATAAAAGTAAAGTAAAAGAGAAAGGGAAAAATAACTAGATCTCTGTGCATAAATCTTAATACAGGAGACTTAGGTTTCTTCTTTCATTCCATGAGGACATTTCATGTTAAAAGAATGTATTCGATAGATATGTGTGATGCACACTGAAGCAGTTTTATAGAAACAGACAAAAAACCCAAAGATATACTTTCATTACAAACAATTTGATCTTGCCTTTAAGGCTACAATCTTTTAAGACATAGCAGCATAAGCATTCTTAGGTTCTGTTTTAAGGGACTGGAAAAGCACACAAAATCTACTCTTTTAAGTCAGCCTGGTGGTATTTATTTGAAAATACAACCTCTTTGCTTCATGTAACTATGCTTAGATTTGAAATCTTATTTAGGTGATGTAAAAGAAGCCATGGATCACTGGACTTCAGCCATGGAAACTTTTGTACTTGCCAATGCTTATCCTTGAACCATGAGATAGAATAATAAGAGTACAGAGCCTGTAAATGTATGAAGATTCAAATGAAGTCTTAAGAAAATTTGGATTATTGGCTAGTTAACAATCCATGCTTAAAAATCCTGGCACAGCATTTGTGATTTCAGCCAGTGAGAGACATCATGTAAGATATGATTGTGGCAAAACAGGGCATTTTGAAATAAGAAAGAACAAGAGATACAGGTAAAAGTGGGACCAGCAACACAGTGTAGAATTCTCAATACAGGATCCTCATTGGGATGTTTCTGGAATCTCTCTTCTCAGATTTTTTTTAAACCGTTTTTAGGGTTTAAAAAAAACTTTTGTAAACCTTGGCCTTCTCCCAAGTTTATCAATTCTGCTTTGCTACTCATGATTAATGCCCAATTTATACACTCTGAAAAGCAGCCTGTTACTTAAAACACTCTTGCCAAGGGTACAAACTTTAGGATTTGTATTACTACAATGTCTTGCCACATGAACTGTCACTACATAGTTAAGAGGTAAACTGCATCAAACTACTATTTGCTTATATAAATGCAAATATTTAAGGTTTTCCTCCAGTCTGAAGCGATCTCAGTCAATGCAGGCAAGACCTGAAAGGCATGTGCTCTCCAGGCATTGCTCACCCATACCTGCACCCACCTTCACATGAACTGAAACTGTATCCAGATGTTAACACAGGCCGTACATCTTAGTTTCCTTTGAACCTCTTAACCACATGCAGGATATTTTTTCCTTAGAAGTTTAAAAGTAATTTCCATGTATTTACCTGTGGTTCTCTCTCATGTCTGCTGGGATCTTTTTCATAGCTCTCTGCATAGATTCTAAGGGTGGCTCGGACATGGCTTGAAGCACTTAATCTAAAGATGAGTCTGGAAGCATCAGAGAAAATAATCCTGAGCCCCTGTAAAGGGAATAAATATTTCATAAGCATGGAAATAGAATTCTTGAGAACAATCATTTGCTAATGTAAATTTGTAGTATACTATAGCAATTAAGAGTTCACTTGCAACAATATTTGATTTTCTTATTCAACATGAAAACATAATTTTCAACATTATTCTGTATGTTGGTACAGCTGGAATTCTTTGGGTTGTCTGCTGATTAAAACAGAAATGATTCATGTTATGTTTACAGTTTGGGCTTTAAAGATTTTTTCATTAATAAAATTGTCATGTTTATAATAGCAAAAGTTAAAAATAATGCACATTTCTAATTCTCTTCCCACCTGCTATGTTTGGAATCCACTCAGATCTATTTGTTGCTATTGGCAATGAAGGATGAGCAAAAGCTAAAAATTTTGCAAATTCTCAATTATTTCCCTTGGTCTTGTCCTGGTTCTTACCAATTATTTCTCTTTTGGTGATCCCATGTTATTTTAAAAAAAGTGCTGGACATACCTGTCTTTTGGTCACAGTGCCATCTACGGGATCCACATATTCAAAGCTGGTTCCTTTCTGCACAGTGTAAACATTGTTTCCAACAGCAAACTGTTGATTAGTGAAAGATTTGTCAGTGATCAAGGCTTCCAGGTCTCTCATTATGAAGTGTGCCATTCTAGGATCCAGTGCTTCATAATCAAATCTTGTATTGCAAATATGAAAAGAAAAGAAATACGTGAAAAGTTAATACGTATTGTTTACTTATTAAATTTGTATGGCTGCCCATCTCATTTACATGACTCTAGGCGGCTGACAGTTAAAATAGGATAAAAACAGAATAAAAACAAAACCAATAATTAAAAACATAAATAACATAAAAGCAGCAACCAAAAAACTCACAGCTTTCCACAGTCAATATAGCCAAGGAACGGCTCACCCACACTAAGTCTGATCTCGGGGGTGGGATGATGTTCCAAAGAGTGGGTGCCACAGCAGAAAATTAGAAATACAATACAAACAGGACAAATTTAAATCTGTTGAAACACTTGTGTCTAGTTCTGTTGCACACCTACTCCCAAATGGGGAACCACCAAGAGCCTCTAGCCCAGTGTTGTCCAAACCTGGCCACTTTAAGATGAGTGGACTTATGCTGGCTGGGGATGCTGGCTGGGGAATTCTGGGAGTTGAAGTCCACTCTTCTTAAAGTGGCCAAGTTTGGACAACACTGCTCTAGCCTAACTACTCTTCTTTTTTGCCATCCTCTTTAAGTATGTGAGCTATGTCAAGAGCCAGGGGAATCATAAATGGTCTCATTTGGACTTTGAATGATACTGTGAAGATGAAAGGGAAGACAAGATGCAAGGAGTAACCAAAGGTCCTAGATGTCTTAAATAGGATGACTCTGTCTCTACCCCTCTCCCACTTTTTATTGCACTAGCATACATCTAATATGGTTAAGTGCAATTGTTATGGATATGCTACATATTGCCATGTTACAACCTGCAGAGGAAACATGCCTTCCTTTTCTCCCTCACCATCTCAACTTGAGTGGCTTGGAAATGGTCCTCATGAGGAAGACAGTGGTTAAGGCAGGCAGGCAGCCCTCCAATCTATAGTCAAAGGCTGGGAGCAACACTCAAGGCCTGTTGATTCATATCTTTGGACTGTGGGACAGGGGAAAAGAAATGGATTTCCCAGAAAAGCAATTTACAACTCCCTTAAACACACTGCCACTGATTTGCTGTGCTCTGAGATTGCCAAGGAAATAAACAAGGTTAAATAGCAAGTTTTCATTGTGTATGATAGAACCCTCTCTAAGTTACACTGGAATAAAGTCTTTCTGCAAGCAGTCTATGGCGTGTGGGAACTGTAGGAAACATACTCCTATTCTTCTATAGGGCACCAGGTGGGAAAAACCTAGTTTAGAATACAGCTGTGGCTTTTCTTAATACATGTTAATCTGTACAGCTTATTCAGTTGGGAAACTATAATACAAATTTAAAATCCTTGTCTAGCTGGGAGCAGAGGAATGAGTTTTGCTAGTTTGGAAGAGAACTGGAAATCCGTATCCCACATATAGAACATTATTTTTATACTACCAGCTGATGCACCCAGCCAATTTTACTATGCATATTAGGCTACTGTTGCATGTATGGTATAAATAAACCATACTACTACAGCTTTAATATTATAATTATGGGACGTTTGTTTTATCTATTTCATGATTTTTCTTTTATAATAAAATGTAAATAAAAGTTCAATGAAATTAAATAATGCAACATGGATAAAACATCTTCAATATTCTTAATACATGTTTTAGCTTTAGAATACCTATATTAAACTAGTTTGCCTGGTTTTGAATTCTTTGGGATATGCTGTTATTCATTTCTAAAATGGCTGCAAATGAAAATCCTTATCTTGGCTATAATTTCAATAGCAATCAAACTCTATCTGAATGTAGGAGTTTACTTTACAGCGATTACCACTTCTCCTTGCTGCAGTACAAACCAATATTGTATTTCTTTGCAAAAACTGAAATGATGGTTTGTGGTTTGAGACACACATGCACTCATAATTATGATTACTTCTATCATTATTTCTCAAGGGCATAAACAGATGACGTAAAAACTTGAACTAAAATGGCTATTATTCTGCTGATGACTCTTCACCTGCAGTAGTAGTGACGGCCAAATTTTGTCCAGTGATCTCTAACAATTTCCTCCACACCCTGCTTTCGAGCTGCCATGATTGAGAGCCAAATTAAAACAGCCCAAAGTCCATCTTTCTCTCGGATGTGGTCAGATCCTATGGGAAAGATAGTAAACATATTACATGCTAAAAAATAATCTCAATTAGATGGGAAACAGAGATACTGCTATTCAGTGACTTACTGTTCTTCCCAAATACTGTATGTGAAAATATTCTTAATGTATTAAAACTAGACTAGGATTTAGACAATTGGTAGGTTTTGGTTATGCAATACACATAAAACAACAAACTTCAACTTATCCAGACTGTCTTCCTTCCTAATCCTTTATTCCATTTTTTATTGCATTTTTTAAATTCCAGCCATTTAAGAGGAAGAACAGTTTAACAACAGTATAATAAGGAAGCTCGCTCCTTCCCTGCTGTCATTTAGGGAGTCCCTCAAGACCTGGTTGTGTCATCAGGCCTGGGGGTCTTTGAGAACCGGAGACATTCTGAGATGGCTCCACTGTAATTGATATTCTGTTCTCTCTGTGGGGTTTGTATATTTTAAAACCTAATTTTTTAAAAATTTGTGATAATGCTTTTATTTTAATAACTTTTAATCTTTTTATATGCCTGTTTTTATTCACTTGTTATTTTATTTTAATTGTTGTATACCACCTAGAGTCGCTTTAGAGATAGGCAGCTATATAAATGTGATATATAAATAAATAAATAAAATAAAAATACATCCAGACAGCCAGTTTGCTGTAGTGGTTAAAGGCAATGGGCTAGAAACCGGGAGACTGGGAGTTCTAGTCCTGCCTTAGGGACAAAGCCAGGTGGGTGTCTTTGAGCCAGTCATTCTCAGCCCTAGGAAGGAGGCAAGGGCAAACCACCTCTGAAAAGCTTCCAAGAAAAGTACAGGGACTAGTCCAGGCAGAGTCAACACTGACTAGTGGCACCAAAAAAGGGGGGAAAAAAATTCAGAACAGAGTTTGACTAAATTTAAGCAAAAATGGTTCCCCTATTTAATATATGTCATGCAAGAAGGCAAACTCAGACACTAAGAATATGGTTGTCGTTGTTCAGTCGTTAAGTCGTGTCTGATTCTTCGTGATCCCATGAACCATATTGGACCAGGCCTTCCTGTCCTTCACTGCCTCCCTGAGTTTGCTCAGTTTCATGCTCAAGAATATGGTAAGGGGAAATAATTGACATAAAGACAGAAGTAATTTCAATGTTTATAATATCTTGATGCAATCACCACTCAGGCACAATGGGAGGAAGTTTAAAATTTAATGTTGTTTTTATTGATTTTTCTCCTTTTTAATTTTTTCCCCTCTTTTCTTTTTTTTCTTTTTCTTTCCCTTTATATGATTATGAGCATTTATTTTGGGGACAATGACAAATGGTGGTAATATCAACATTAATATACTATTTAGAATTTTATATAGATTTTTAGTTATTTCTTAAGATGATATGATGAATCTAGTTCTATACATTTAATTAATGAATGAAATAATGAATTTTAAATTTTATTATAATTGTAAATCATTTTACAATAATTGAAAAACACTATGTCTTTTTTCCACTTTTCTTCCTTTCATGTAGCTACTTATTCTGTTCTTTAAATGTTGTTGTTTTTTTAAAAGAGAAAGCACACATACCAGTGCTACTAAGTATGAGGATGAAATACAAAATAGGATGGCTTTATAGATAAATAAATACAGATCATGCCAATATACTTTGGAATATTCAGAGCTCATCGCCAAATTTCTATCAACTACAGTTCACTGAACAAAAACGTATATTTCAAGCACACATTACCATTTCATGTTCATACTGTATAAGGTTAAGTAGCTACTGTTTTGATTCATATTTTAAGTAGAAAGAGAGGGTGAGAAAGAAACCATTCAGCAATCCTGTAGTCCAACTCAAAATTGAAGCAGCTCTTTTTCTTTATAGAAGTTTTCATAGCACATAATGATAGGTATTGGCATATTCAGTGGAGGGGAAAATGATGAAACATGTCTGACTTCAACACACAAATGCTGCAACTTATATACTTGCATCAGATGCCGGGACGCAAGTATGTAATGGCGGCATTTGGGCGATGATGGCAGTATCCATGTATTGTGATTTTGACATCATAACAGTTTGCGGATCATTAAGTGCTTATTTATGCAATATTGTTCTCAACCTCCAAAATGCTTTGTGTATAATTTAGCATGTGTCTATTGTTTGGTATAAATACTCACATGTTGCTAATATAGGACAAAATCTTTTTCTGTTGCACCAAATAAGGCTACTAGACATCCTGTATTTGCTTTTGCTCATGTAATCAATAGCATGGTTTACAACCTCCAAGTGACACACGCGCACACACCTTTCTTAACTATGAGCTAACTTACTGATTAGAAATAGTTCCCAGGTCCACTATAGGAAGTTCAGAATTAACAGAGATTAATCTGAAATACAGAGATTTCACTTACATAATGAGACCTGACCCAGAGTTTAATATATTCGACAGAAATCTATTTGTGATAGTCCTTTTTACTATTGTGAAGTGGGCTGGGAGCTGTAGTTCAACAACATCAAGAACTGCTTTACAGAGTATTAACCTTACCAGTGCCAAAACTTTCTTCTCCACAGAGGGAACATCGACCAGAATCCATCAGATTTGAGAAATACCTCCATCCTACTGGTGTTTCATATACAGGTACTTTCATTGATTTTGCAACCCTAAAAAAAAGTCATTACACAACAGATCTTATTAACATATTATACTGTTTTGCATATATGGATACAGGCTTATTTAAATGCATTCATTTTTAAAACATATGAAACATCTATCTATAGAGATTTCCAAGTAAAGCCATGAGTTAAAAACTGGATTCAGGTTCTGGTCATAACAACTTACCACATGCCATTTAGCACAGTTGTTTAAAAGAAGCTTTACAATTTGGTAAAGAAGCTGGGAGTTTGGTAAGCACGCATCACCTCCATCCATCCATCCATCCATCCATCCATCCATCCATCCATCCATCCAAACAATACAATCTTTAATATTAAGTAATCAGCTTAAGATCAAAACTTTATCATACAACTAATATTTTGATGCAATTTGCAGAGGTTCTTGTTTCAATGTTATCTTCAACTTTAGACAAAAAAGTCAAATACTGTAATTCTATGCTTTTAACATTGACATTCTAAATTATAATACTGATAGAATTTTTTTCCTCTTCTGTATTCTCATCACTCTAAGCTACCTAAATAGAATGCTAATAATCTCCAATTAACATTGTATAAACAAAAAACTACAAAAACTTCATAATACAATTCATTTCTAACTTACACAATCCACGTTTTACAATGCTTATAACAACAGCAAAGTGGCAGGCCTGCAGCTGGGTCATGCTACTGCGAGCATTAGCATTTCAAAAAACAGTATTTTTTTTTTAATCATGACCTCTTGGAGAATCCTAGGGTTTCAACAGAACCAAATTGAAAAAGGCAGCCTATATTCAAGAAACCAAAGTACAATAAAACCTGTCCACATAGATAAACTGTAGATTGCATGTATACTAGCTGGAATATTATATGGAACAAATACAAATGTTTAAACTTTAAATAAGACAGTTAACTCTGCACAATTAACTCTGGTATGAGGTCTGTATTGTGAGAGAAAATTATGCATCTTTGATTTAATGGAACTTGAAATTCAAAATATTAGCTAGTTATTTCAATTCATGAGAAAGAAAGAAAGAAAGAAAGAAAGAAAGAAAGAAAGAAAGAAAGAAAGAAAGAAA